AAAATTAAATTACAGGAAGTCACGTCTTAACTACTGCAATTTTTCACACATTTGTGTAATTTGCTGACACTATTTTAAAAAGAATTCTTTAGAAATGATTACTTAAGCTTTTTTAAAAAATAATATATTTTTTTCAAAGGGGAGTTAATGTAACTATTATTTGAGCTCACTCATATTTTATAGATTTTTAGGAAAGACTTATTTTCCTGCCTGCATTTAGAAATCAATTCCGATTTTTTATTTAATAAACATTCTTGGTTTGTATGTGTAATTATTTCAAATTTTTCTTGTAGACATAGTATGCATTTTTTGGAAATATTGTTATATGCTGGCACTGTTTTAAGGATGGACCAATTCAGTGTAAAATCATCAATATTTTTTTTCTTTTAATACCCATATATATTTTGACAGCATGGTGTCTTTTGAATACTTTTTATTTTTAAAAGATTGCTTATGATTGGCAAAACGTTTTTTCCATTCACCTTCTGTTATGCCAATATATTGTTTATCAGGTACATTATTAGAGGAAACAACACATTTATATACCACATTTTTTGATAAGCAACTTCCACTCATTGGACAATTGTTTTTTTGTTTACAATTACAATTTTCTATAGTTTTTTCATTTTGGATTTCTTTTTTGTTTAACAAAGTATTGTTGTGACCTTTTATAATTCTTTCCATATTTTTTGTGCAACTGGAGCTAACTTTAATAGTATTTCGATTAAAAATTTTATGTAATTTATTAGAGGGCGGCAGGCCTTGCGATAAAGCGTCGGGCGATGTGAATTTTACTTCGCCCAAGAGCGATTTTGCGTGTAGCTAGGGCTATTTGCGTCGAGCAAAAAATTTTTTGTTTGAGTATATTTAAAGATATTTTTGAGCGGAATTTTAATGAAGTAATTCACGATTATTTTAACATTTAATAAAGTATTTTAAAAACCGCACGCAGTTGAAATAAAAGTTTGAATTAAAAAAAATTAAATATGCTCATTATTTACAAGAAGAAAAAATTCAGATTAAAAAAAAAGTTTAAATCTTTTAAGCTAACATTTTAATAAAATTATTCAGCTATAGCAAAGTTGTCGATAAAATTGAACAAAAATACTTTCTTTTAGTTTTAGATTTTAAACTTAAATAATTATTTTACGGGGGTTTGTTAGGTTTTAAAATTATTCCATAGATTTAAAAATATTTATTAACTGTTAGACATATTTAAAGTATTTAAGAGTAATTTCGAGGAAACATTTTAAAAATTGGTGAGCGCAAATAAAAAAAAAAAAGGATTAATATTAAAACGTATTCTACTTGATTCAATAAAAAAGTACAGTTATTAAAATTTTTGTAAAAAGTAACTCAAAAAAATTACTTAATAACGATCGCTTTTATGTTAAAAGTTACCGAAACTCAACCAAGCGTGCTCAAGAACAGCTGCTGAAAAATAAAACGTCAATAGTTTTTCGAATAATTTTTATTAATAATTTTTAAGAATAATTTTTTCGCTGAAATATTTCTTTTATACCTATAAGATTTTTATTCTAACATTTTATTTTATTTTACTAGAAATAAAATTCTTTCAAAACATGACAAACGTCGAGAAAATAAACAAATGTTTTTACATTTTAAAAAACGAAACATTCCAAAACATTTTTAAATAATAACATTTCTACATAAACGATTTAAAGTAGTTTTGCGGTAATTAAGTAAATTGGTGCAGTTAATGTCGATAAATATGAAAAGCAAATAAAAAGAATTTAATGACGTCAAAAATCACGTTGTGCTTATGCGTCGCGCAGTTGTTATTCATCGCAAGGCCTGGGGCGGGAAATGCTTATTGATCAATTTTAAAAACACTTTTCCTATGTTTGCGGAAACATTTTTGCTATATGGGGGGTTGAACCAAATTACATTTCTAATTCTATTTCGCTTTTTTGTATTCTTTTTTTCAGGGTCAAATTTTAATTCAAAGTTTTCAAAACCACTTTTTTTAAGGGCATCTTCAAATATCTGTTTGGAGGAATTGAATACATTTTCATTAGAGGAGTTTTGGTAAAGCCTGTTATTAATTGAAATCGGGATTTGTTTTAGAATTTGGGGTGGATGATTTGAGTTAATAATAATATACAAGAATTCATTGTTTGGTTTTTTGAAAGGCTTATGTATTTTCCGAGAGGTTAAATGTGACATCAAGAAAGTTCACAATTTTTAAATTTATGTTTATTTCAATTTGAAAGCCAATATTTTAAAAAATTTTTATAATATCTTTTCTAATTTTATCAAGCTGTGGACCAGATTTTTTACGCATTACTATTAAACCATCGTCGCGATAAAGGCCTAAATCATTTATATTGATTATTTTACTTAATAAATCTAAAATATATAATCCAACAAATTCACAAATTTCTGCTCCATCATAACTACCGATTGTTACATCAAAGCAGTTATGTATGTTTTTCTTTTTCCAAGTTTCCTTATTAAAATAAAGTAAGGTTTTTCTACAATGTTTTATTATGCGAATTGTTTCTTCAGGAATAACTGTGTGGCTTTTTGCAAATTCAATTGTTTTATCTAAAATATCTGCAGTTATTGAGGGGTAAAAATCATTAATATCAAATTGAATAAATGTACAGTCATTTTTATTATCGATTATGGAGAACCAATTTATAACATCAGTGGTATTTTTCCACTGTTGCAAATTTAATTTATTTCTAAGAATATTAATAATTTTGTCCAATTTAATTTTGCTTACATGTCCAATCTCACTTTTTGAGGGAACCAATAACCTACAAGGAAGTTTGTTTTGAAAATTTGGTTTATGGTTTATTTTTTTAGCAATGCTTTGCGCTTCTAAATTAATTGCATTTTCCAAATTTTTAGGGGCTTTCTCATAAGAACTAGTAATATTGTCGCGTAAAATTTTTTCATAGTTTTCTGTTGTAAGTTGGTAAATGTTATTTGTTTTAGCAGCGAAAACCAAAATATTAGGGTTTGATTTAATTTCTTTAACATCTAACTTTAATTCTGTTTGAAATTTGTTTTTTATAGCGCACAACTTTATTGTTTTAATTAAATGCAATAGGTCATTTTCAAAATTTTCCAAATCAGGTATAAAAGGTGGGGTATTTTTTGTTTTAAATCCATAATTATCATTATCTTGGTTATTATTAAATACATCATCTGTGTTTGTATTTGGCTTTAAGAAAAAATACGCTTTCCAAC